ACAAGCATCAAAATCAGCCAAAACACAAGATTGAGAGCATCTACACTAAAGGAAAGTTCACCGAAGTATCCCAAGATGAATCGTAACACACACAAGCATCAAAATCAGCCAAAACACAAGATTAAAAGCATCTATGCTAAAGGAAAGTTCACCGAAGTATCCCAAGATGAATCGAAACACACACAAGTATCAAAATCAGCCAAAACACAAGATTGAGAACATCTATGCTAGAGGAAAGTTCACCGAAGTATCCCAAGATGAACCGCAACACACACAAGCATCAAAATCAGCCAAAACATAAGATTGAGAGCATCTACACTAGAGGAAAGTTCACTGAAGTATCCGAAGATAAATCGCAACACACACAAGCATCAAAATCAGTCAAAATCTTAGTTTTGGAGAGAGGAAGAAGATGAAGAAGGGGGAGGAGAGGAAGGAGAGGAAGGAGAGGAAGAAGAAGAAGGAGAAGAAGAGGGAGAAGAAGAAGAAGGAGAAGAAGGAGGAGAGGGGGTAGAACAAGGAGAAGAAGAAGAAGAAGAAGAAGAAGAAGAAGAAGAAGAGAGAAGGATGAGAAACTTCCTCCTCTTTCACTCACCTCTTGCTGGTCTCTAGGCAATGGAGTCCCAGGCGTATTTCTAGCTCCTTGAGTATGGCTTTCCTTCCTCCCAAGTTCTCTCCTCCTCCCCTCACACCTCTTCTCAAGCTATGGCAGACTCTTACTCTTAAGGCTATGGAGTTCTTCCCTCTAGAAGGGCTAAGGGGACCCCTTCTAGCCTCTCCTCCTACCTCACAGCCTGAGGGCTATGGCGGACCACTCTCCTTGCTTTGTCCTAGCCTCTAGGTCTCCTCCCTCAGCCTTATCACTATAGTCAGGCTCCAGGCTAGCTCCGGCTCTCTTCTCCTTGCTCTACTCCACTAGGACTCTCTCATGGACTCATTTTGGCAGCATGGGCTCTTCTAATGCTCAAATGAGAGTGGCGGCCTGCAACTTCAACTTATGTAGGCTGAAACTAGTGCACCGCCCAACCTCTGGGCCTCTCCAAGTGCCTCTAGGTGGGCCGAGGTACCTCCAAGGCAGATTTTCAGGTTTAGGTCTTTCCGGAGGTATCCGGGCGTCATCCTGGACAGGTACATGCAGTCCGAGTGGCTGGTACCTTCTCGGACTACCCCTTGGCCTACCCCGGCCTCTTTTCACTTCAAAAAAAGCTGCCTTGGGGGTACCCCTACCCAAAATGCAGCCTTTACTGAAAATTGAGGGCCTAAAGGTCCGTTTCTTGTTTTTTTCCTGGTCTAGGCCTCTTTTGGGTAGACCGTTGCATTTTTCCAAGTGGCGGCACAATCTCCGCCTTGGATTTGGTTGAGATCCATGACCCTCATCGTTCCGAGCTACCGCCAAGCTCCCCTTGGCTCAAATTTGAGCCTTTAACTTCAATTTTTAATTTTTTTGGTGTATCTGGTCCAAGCCTTGGGCCAAATACTTAATTTTGTCATTTTTCTCTCTTTGTTTTTCCTCCACTTTGATGCCACCTCATTCCGGAGCTAGGTGTTTTGCGTCAACCCACAAAAAACAGCTAGATCTCCTCCACCATGAGATCAGATCTCAGATCTATGGCCCAAAAGAAAACCAGCCAACTCACATCAGCATTTTTCCTTATTTTTGTTGCTTTACTTCAGATATTGCAGAGATAATGCCCCAAGGGCCATATCTCTGTAATCCGGAATGCCCTCCTAGGATCTAGGAGGGATGAGGTCATCATTGAGACCTGCCAGTCCCTACCGCTGCAGTCCCAACCTGGCGGCACATTCTCCTCCACCCATTCCTCCTCCTTTGTTTCATTCTCCCTCTTTTTCTCCCCTTTCTCATTTATTTCTATTGGGACAAGTGTACAACAACTATTTCTTTTCTTTCTAGCTGTTGGACCCTACCCAAGATCTGATTTTGCAGCCGGCATGTGGCCGTTATACCTCGGACTGCAGTAGTGGCACCCCCAAGATCCAAGGGGGCTCCTTTCGGCTGCACCGCTTCCGGTTTGCGGCCCCCTTGCTCCAATTTTCTCCGGCCAGCCATTTCCTCATGTGGGGCCTTCGAAACTTAGGTTTTTTTTTCTTAGCCTGGCTGGTCCGGGATCACCCGGACTGTTGGCCAGGCCCCCTCACTGCCGCTACTCCCTCTTTACTTTGCCCTTGGCACCTCCTGCCGGCGTTTGTTGCGGTGGTACTTAACATTTTCGTCCGGGGCCCCGGCCCGGAACGTATTCAGTCCGACCCGCTTAGCAATCCTGTAGGGCCCTTTGAACCTTTTTCCCAGCTACCCAGACCACGTGCTTTATAGGGCTGAGTTCCTGACTAGCACCTTTTCCCCCACTTGGAGTGGTTCCTTCCGAATGTTCTTGACCTGGTCCCACCTTGCTTTGTCCCTCATTGGACTATCCATCACACGGTTAACTACTTCGTCCAGCGCCTCCTCATTTTTGGCGACCTGTTGGCAACGTGCCGTGATTAACTCTTCTGTAGTCAGGTGCGGATCGTCGTCTAGTCTATTCCAGGTAGGGACCAGGGCCTCCACCGGAAAGTCAATCTCCCTTCCATACCAAAGTTCCGCTGGAATGCACCCCGTGGTTCTCTTTGGTGTCACGTTCTCGAAAAAAACTGCCTGCCTAAGATACCGCGGCCAATTTCCCAAGTCGTATGCTGCCAACTTTACGATTGTGTTCTTCAAGGTCTGGTGGCCCCTCTCTACTGGTGAATTTGCCTCAGGATGGTAGGCCTGAGTAATGTTGATTGGTACACACAATATCTTAAGCATGTTCAACACCTCCTGGTTAACGAATTTTGTCCCATTATCTGCTATAAACCTGCGCATGAAGGGGTGTCTTAGGTAGAAGTCTTCCACCCAATCGGCCACTGCTTTCCCTGTCTTCCTCTTGAGAGCTACGGCCTCTATGTAGCCACTGAGATTGTCCCTTGCATCCAAGATGTATCTAAACCCATCCGTTGATACGGGCATAACCGCAAGATCGAGGTGAACAAGGTGCCCAGGTCCCAGTACCCGGGTGAGTCTAAGGGGTTCGTAAACCCGTGCGGAGCTCCTCTCTTGACATATCAGGCATGTCTGACAGTACGTTGCGACCATGCCTGCCATTCCTGGCCAGAAATACAGGGGCACGATCTTGGCAAGTGTCCCCTTTGACGACCGGTGACCTCCAGCTCGCCCATCATGCATTGCCTGAATTACGTCCAGCTGCCTAGACCTCCCACAAACGACACGCCTAGGCATCATCCCTTCCTCTTTCTTGAACAGGTGACCATTTCGTAAGACGTACTTCTCAGCTTCCTCCCTTGCCTTGGAGCTAACTTCTATGGGTTGTTTGTTCCCTACAAGTAGCAGACCGATTTCTTTAAAGACGCTCTCATCCATCTGTATGAGGAAGAACTCTTGTTCCTTCTGATCCGTATCCTGCTCCTCCCGGGTCTGGTTGACTAGGTACTGGCATTCCTTCTGCGCCCAGGTTTCGGTCAACGTCATCACGACGTCCCGTCCCCTTTCCACGACCATTGCCGTCAGTTCCTCTCTAGCCCCTGCTTCTGCTCCCCACAAGTCTTTTTCCTCTTCGCGCCTAACTGTGGTGACTGGTCCTTCCCTGAGTTTTGCAACTACTGCAGGCGCGCCCTTTTCCAAGGTCTGAATCAGCAACTGACCTGTTGTAAGTGTTGAGTTGGCCATTTCGTAATCCACAATAAGGGCCCCCCCTTCGTATTCTAGGAAGGCGTCAATTGGTTCCGCGTCCTCTACTCCCTCAGGCGTGATACATACCTTGCTCAGCCTATCTGCCCTGTTTTGAAGCCCCGCAATTCGCTCGACCTTATAGTCGAATTGCCATATGACGCCTATCCATCTCCCGACGGTCGGATCTATAGGCTTGTAATTCTTTAGAGCCCCGACGACGTTGGTGGGATCGATCCTTAGGATAAATCGCCTTCCAAACAGGGATGTCTGGAAGGTCTTAAGGCAATGCAGGATCGCTAAGACCTCCTTCTCGAACTGTGAGTACCGCCGTTCTACCGAATTCAGGGTCCTACTTTCAAATTTGATTGGTCTTTCCTTGCCCTTCTCGCTTTTCTGTATCAATACCCCTCCTATTTCCATTGGTCCGCCATCTGTTTCTAAGATGAAGGACCGTCCTACTTCGTCATTGAAGCAGGGTGCCGCTAAAGTAACTTCATCGGAAGACAGGATATCTTTGAGGGTCTGGGCTGCCACTTCCCTATCCTCAGTCCATTCCATAGTACCCCCTTCCCTGATCATTGCGCGGATAGGCTCAGCTATCTTTGCAAATCCTTTGATGAAGATTCTCCAGAATCCGACCACCCCTAGGAAGGCTCGTACTTCCGTTGTGGTGCGCAGGGGTGTTGGCCATTGAGAAATTTTATCCGTCTTTGCTGGGTCAGGTTTCCTTCCAGAGGCCCCACAACGAAACCCTAGTATGGTTACTTCCGGGACGGCCAGGATGCTCTTGGGTCCGCTTGCAGTAATATTGTAAACTAGGAATCGCTTGAGCAAGTCCTTAATATCCTGCAAGTGATCCCAAACAAACTTCTGTACGTCCGGTTGGACCACTGCCTCGTCCTTGTACCTTGCGCCTTTTACGGGATTATCATCTGTATAAGGTTCACACTTTTCCGGAAACATATCCCCTGCAACGGCGAGCATCCTCCTCTGCGCCTCTGCTACCGCATTTGTGAAGCCCATAGGGGTCACTTGCATCTGCAGCTGCCCTACGTAGGTGTGCATTGCGGTATATGGTCTATCCCTCGCATCAAGTGGCAACTGGTCGTATCCTGAGTACAGGTCTATCAAGGAGTAAATGCTCCGCTCGGCGTGAGATTCGGCAAGCAAGTCCGCCTGTGGGAGCGAGCCTGCATCCCTAATTGTTACCGCATTGAGCTTCTGCAAGTCCTGGATCCACCTGAGCGTCTTGTTGGGCTTCCGGAAAACGAACCATTTGTTCGCATAAGGGGATGCGGTGGGCTCAGCCACAAACGAATCTATCTTGGCCCTAAGCAGGTCATTGACTTCCGCTGCAATCCCAAACTCGTAAGCAGACCCTTTATCATTCCAGCATTCATGCTCTACCGTGTGGATCCTAACCGGAGGAACTAGCTTTGCGTCCAACCGCCCTTTCTGGTGATCATTGAAAGCGAAAACTAAATGGAACTCCTAACACGCCTTCCTTATAAACTGAGTTTCCTCCGCTGTTAGAAACCCTTCCACTCCTATTTTCATGGTATCTGCTMCCTCATCTGGTATGCGATGCCCTTCGGTTGCCCGCCTCTCCCTTATAACCCGTAGGATATGTTCTTCTTTTTCCATGACCTCTTCCTTTGATGTTTCTACCAGGATCGAGACCGGCTTGGTCTTCTTCCCTACGGGTTTGTACTTTCACACACTCCCTTCTGGGATCATTCTCCTAAAAAATGAACGGTCGGGATTGGCCTTGCCACCTCCATGGCACAGGGTTGAAGACTGACAACCTTCCCATTGAGGCAGTAGCCTTTCTGGATTTCTTCTTCAAATCTTGCAAGTGTTGTCGGATCTACCCCAACTTTATGGTATCTAATAGTTTTGATGAGCTGCAGCAAGTCAGAGATTTCGAGTACTACTTGTGTCGTTTCCTTTGGTCCCTCCTTTGGCTTGGGCAGGCTGGCCCCAAGTTGAATCTCCGACTCCTTTTCTGCGAGCATGACTCCTAGGACCTCGTCCTCCTGTCTCCTTTTCTTTAGAGACAGACCCATTTTGATCCATTCCTTTTTGCTAAACGCCTCCTCAATCATAATTTCTACCCTTTCCCTCATCCCTTCCATCCGTGCGAATGCGCCTTTCCGTGCGCTTTCTTCAAACGTCGGCGACCAGGTTGCCAGCTTACCCTTGGGAGGGTCCCCTCCGGTTCCGAGGAGTCGGAAGAGTTCTCCGCAACCAGTCACCGGATCCTCTATATCTACCATATACGTGCCATCATGCAGGTGCATGCCAATCATTTCTACATTGGCGCACCATGGTCTCCCAAGGATTATGTCATGGTCCATTTCTTCCATGACGGTCATCCGTTGGAAGGACCAGATGGATTCCTGAATTCCTGCCCTGACCGCGCATTTAGTGACATACCCAGTGAAGGGAATTTCTCCGCCCGCTCCCCTGATACTCCCTGCTACCTCCTTGTTTATTGTGCACCCCGTGATTGTTGCGAAATCCCGTCGTATGAGGGTGATTTCCGCGCCACCATCCACTAATGCATCGGTGTGGTGAGTTTCAACCTGGACTTTAAGTTTTCTTACAGGTTGTGCGTGAAAGCTAAGTTTAGTGTCGGGCGGTGCTCTCATGACTTCGCCACCTTCTCAGTCCGGCAGATTCAGACGAATGTCAGCAAAGGCTTTTTCCAAATCTTCCAGGCCCCCTGGAATGCTTTGGAGGTTAGAGACTCCTTGTGGTGCCTCGGCCTCCTCGGGTCCTTGTTCCTGTGGTTCCAGAGCCTCCTCTACTTTTACACATTTACACATCAATAGTTGCCTAAGGCCCTTGAGCAGTCTCGGGCTTGCCTGTAGCATGGTCTGGAAGGATACCGACACCATGGTGCCCAGGAGCTTGCTCAAAGTGTCATCTAATTCGGGCAGCGTTAGAATCGGGATCTGGTACCTGAACTTCTTCTTTGCCGCCATGGCTTTATCTACCGGTTCCTCTTCCCTTGTTTTTCCATAAACCTTCTCCTGTTCCCCGGCCTCGGCTTCCTCCTGATCTGCTCTAGGCCCCGCGGCTTCTTCCATTACTGTGTCTCGGATGAGCTTCTTTTCCGCGCCAGCCCCTCGGGTAATAATATTTACCCTATCCTGCCCATTACCTTCCATGATGAAGTTGACCTGCGGCCCGCGCCCCCTTGGTTGGTCCCAGACAAGCTCAGCTACCGGCTCTGCTTCTACGACAGCTATATCCAAGTTATTCAGGAGGATGACGGCACGCCGCATTCCTCCTGGCGAATTCCAGTTTACGCGCTCTCCCTAAGGTCCAAGAATCTCACCTTTGAGGGACCTACTACACCTCTGTCTGATGATGTCGTGGTTAAGTCTCGGACAAGTTCTCACGAAATGCCCGACCATTGTACAATATTTGCATTGTTTATTGGTCGGGTCCCTTCTGGCGAAACCTCGATTTGCTACTACTGCCGGTATTACGGCTTCTTGGGGCGGGAGGGAGGGTCGGGACACCTGCGCCTGCATTACTAATAGCGCATTTTCCATTTTGTCCATCTTGCTGTCAACCCTGTGCACCCTTTCATGCAGGCTCTCTATTCTCTTTTTGACCTTATCCCCCGTCTTTCCAGTCAGGTCTATAACCTCCCCTTCCTTAAGCAGGGCCAGGGTCTCAGTTACCACTGTCTTCTCTGCAAGATCTGTTACCGTACTGAAATCCACATCCCTTGTGTATTCAAACTTGCTGGTCTGCTGGTATGCTGATAAAATCTTATCCTTATCAAACTCGGAGAACTGCCTAAGAAAATATTTACTCATTATGCGGTCCGTTACCCCGAGAATTCGCAGAGCCACTAACGTAAACGCCCTTAGGAAATCGTTGTAAGTCGCATTGTTTTTCCTCTGGACTGCTGCTAATTCGGCCTCTGTTGCCACTTTCTCTGCCTTCAGGTATTTCCTCATCATCTCGTTCCTGGCTTCTTTCCAGGATCCACTGGAAGCGACGATGGTCATAATGTCCCTTCCCAAGCTTAGCGACACGTACTGCCCTAGGTGATCCATCTTTTCCTCTTCCGTCCATTTCAGTAAGGTTGCTAGGTTCTCATAGTCTATTAGAAACTCCGTAATGTTTGCCCCATCGAACGTGAGTTTCTTCTTTGCATCTGCGAGATACCCCTGGTTCTTGTTTAGTGCCCGGGTGAGGGTGGCGACTATCCTCTTGAGACCTCCTTCGGAGCTACCCGTTTCTCCAGTAGCACTAGTCTCTTCCCCTTCCTTGCTTTCCCTCTGCTTCTCCCTGGCTTTCGGCGTTCCTTCTGGGTCAAACCATCCTAGCACCCTTTCCCTAAGGCTCCAGAGTCCGTCGCATGCCCCTGTTATTTTCGGCGTGGCGGGCAGTCGGCTAGTGCCGCTGTCAATGGTGGGCGGGGTCATAGCGTTTTCCGTCCCTTCCGTTGGGGGGTCGTCCTTGTCCTTCCCCTTCTTGTTAGGCGTTCCCTTGTGACTATTATCCTTCCCTCCATACCTGGCCTCGTCCTGACCGGTCCTGCGTCCCTCACGTGACCCCGCGCCCTGGGGGTCCTCCTCTTCCTCGGCCATCATCTGCTCGATAAGCCTTGCTTTAAATTCTTCAGTCCGCTTTTCTATCTCTGCCAGTTTACGACGGGCATCCGAGACTTTCGTCTTTTTAGGGGTGGTTCCTTCCGAGTTCCGAGGGCTTGTTCTGATATCGTTTCCCCCTTCCCTGTTTTCCTGAGGTCCCTTTTTGCTACCCCCAGCTTTCCCCGAGCTTTGTCCAGTTGAGAGGTCCTTCCCGTCTTCTCGGGTTCCTTCCGATTTGGCTGACTCTCGATCCCTCGCCGATCCCTCGTTTCGTTCCCCATCCCCGTTCGTGCCCTGATTCCCTCCGCTCTGCTGGTCATCGATCCCTTCTTCGGTCGCCATTCCTTTACCTAGCCTGCACATGAAAAAAAAAATTGCAAAAATTGGCCGGTTGTTCATAACTCCCCTAGTCCCGACCCTAGAATCCGCCTATTCTCATGCTTCTTGTGCCTTACATTACTCGGTACGACTCCCCTGACTTTTCTTTCCCAGGGCGTCCTTCAGGTTTTCTTCTGTCAGGTGACTTGCCACCGCTGTTCGGCATTTTATTACTGCCGCGCTTTGACTCTTAGGGCGGTGTTTGAGCCAGTGGCTTCCTTATCGAGGATGGCCCTTTTGGCTTTTCGACCTCCAAATGCCCCAGAGTTTTCTGGTGCGGGTGGTCTTCCTAGTTCCTCCTTGCCGCACTATCGGGTCGGACGGAACTCCAACCACTGCCCCCCCTCCCTTTTTTGCTGATGGTTGCCTTCTTATCTTAGTGCCCATCCCTTATTTCCCTATCTTTCCCCAACGCGTTTTCTCATGCTTGTCCCTCAGGCCTGCCTTGCTAATCTGGTTCCCCGAACAGGTCAGCCACCCCAGCAAGATAGTTTTCTCCCATCTCTATTTCCCTGACGATTATCGGTTCATATTCCTCAAAAGCCAGGCGAGGCAAATCGAATATCAAAATTTCAATGAGGTCAAGCAATTCCCGGGCCCGATTCCCCCAGAACGGTCCATGCTTGACCGATACGTCGTAAAACATTCCCGTCATTTGTGACCGGAAGTGGTGGATCCAGACCAGAGTCGAATCCACCAGGTCCCCGACTCTCTTGAGGCTACCAAATACCAGATCCACCATGAAGCGGGGAACTCGGCACATCAGCCCTGTCATTAGGGCCTTGAACTCCCGCCAACCCCCTACCTCCACCCGGGTTCTCAATCCCACGTTTCTTCTCCCCCGCACTTCTTGGCCTACCCGGTTGAGTGTCCTAGTAGCCCTCTGGAAGATTGGTAACAACCCGTGTCCCAGTGCCAACTCCGTTCCCAATATGTACCACCCCAGTTCCGGCAGGTATACGGTCTCTGTCACCCTAAGATCAATGTACAGATCGCCCCCTGGTCCCCTATTAATCCTCATACCATCCCACAAACATTCCACCATCATTGTAGCGGACCTATGGTGGGCCTGTGAGACCAGCCCCTTGGCCTGTTCTCACAGGCCTGTGTTCTATTCGGGGGCAGTCCAGTCCATTCCAGGCCAGTACCTCTGTCGGTACCAGCCAGTCCAGTCTAGTTTGTAAGTCCGCTGGGGTATACCCCAGCCATTGTCTGTTTTTTTACTCATTCTTCACTTGCACATTTTGGAGTACGTTGGAGTCTTGCGTGGGGAGCTGCGTTGTGCCATCTCACTCCCCCCTTCTTCCTCCATCTCCATCTCTACCACTAGCGGAGCACCACACCTGGTG